AAAGTTTCAAAGCATGTAGTTATCAAAGAAGGTTGACGCACGTGAGTCTTACGTACCACGTGCAGGGGATGAAAGAAACTACGTGTCTGAAGTATTAAATGGAACAGTGTAAGCAAGCCAGTGTAAAAACCTGCAATAAGAACATAAATGAGGTCAGGAAAGTAGATGAAATCCACAATAAATCTCTAATATTTAGTGACCTCTTTTTTATAATATACGTGGTACGTTTTTCACTTTGTTATTCCTTTTTCACTCGATTCTTTAATTATTTCGAACAATAATAATTAAAAAACTTCTTATACATACGATATTTTATTTTTAAATTTTATTTGCCTCAAGTATTTTATATTGATATAAAAATATTTTTAAAAAGACGATAATTGTCGAATTCAAAGAACTCAAAGTCATGCTGTCCTCATTTTATTTTCTTGTAATGTAATCGCTTCTTTTACAGGTAGAAGTAAGACAACTGTGTACATGTGTCTTTTCGTTGCGCAAGGATCTCGTACAGAAACTCAACATAAGTCAAGGTTGGCGAAACATTTCTAACAAAGTAATTAACTGCTAATGACTGCGTCTAATGGTCTTAGGAAATATTTTACGAGTGTGATAAAATATATCGAATTTGTGTATATGTGTATTCATAGAATAACTTTAATATTTATTTAAAGTATTAATAATTATTTAATACTTATGAACATTTATAAATTTACTTAATACTTATAAGTACTTATTGATTATTACATGTGTAGATAATGATTATATTTATTTATATTATAATATAAATTATATAATTAACTGTATTTATTATTAAACTATATTTAATAAACATTTATTAAACTATATTTATTTATATAATATTTATGACTATATTTATACATATATTTATTATTTAAAAATTTTTTAATTTTCTAACGAAGAAATTAATTAATAGAATTATTTCGTGTTTGCAAATGAACATAAAGGTACCTTGTAGTATTTTTATTTGTCAATTATTTCCCAGAAAGTGTGTAATCTGGAAACATGAGATTACCTACATAATTACTGCCTAATTAAGCATTTTTTTTAATTAGCACATTTTATACTTTCTGCCAATCTCAACGTTCCAAGAAATTGACTCGGATTATTTCGACTTCCATTCCTCTCCTGACTCATTCTGTTATCCTACTTACGTGTTCCAGAAGATTTAAATCAGTACTCTGTTTATTACAGCATTCTCATGAATTTGTGAGTCAGAAAAAATCATAAATCAGCCACATCGTAAAAGGAATATTTACAAACTCCCATCGTATATTACATTGTGTAGAAACACTTCCAAAAAATGTGTTCACCTGTCATTTTAAGGTCAATGACATAGATAGTCAAAGACTTGCATAATTCTGTCTTTTACGAGCAACAATAGCACGAATGGAAATTGACATACCTGATATTTAAATATTTAAATCCTCAGTTTTAAATCAATATTTTAATACAACTTTATTTAGAATTCTTTCAATTTTAAATAGACTTGTAAACGCTATTTAACGATACACTAACACCATATAGCGCAGTCCAAATAATAATCGATAATAATACTAATGAGTATATATAATTTAAACATAGTGATCTATAATACTAACAGCGTAGCTCTAATTAATAATCCTAATAATACTTGTAATATCAGAATAACACTCACAATACTGTGCAACACTAATGTATAATAACATAAACAGTGTTTAATATTAATACAAAACTAATAATAGTGTATAATATTGATATAATACTAACAAATATAAAATGAACTATAGTGAGTAATACTAATCCTTTAAGGTCGACAGATTTCAGCAGAGCAAATTTAGCGTTTCGCAGTTATTTTTCTGTAAGGATTTAAAGTTAATATATGGATATTAAAACGCATAGAATTTATCGAAACTAATTTGTGTTCAATACTACTATTAACCCTTGGCGCTCGACGATTTTTTGGCCAAAGAAGGGTACGAGTTGAAAAATTTTCTGTTCTAAAGCTAACGATACTTTTTCAACAGTAAATAATTAATTAAATCGTATAATAATTAACACGTAGAATTATTTAATTTTGATACCTCGCACACTGTTCACATTATTTTAAATTTGATATATCAATTAATATCGAGCTTCGAAATTTTATCAAATGGTGACTGAAGGGTGCCTCTCGAGTGCAAAGGGTTAATACGTAAAAATATCAAATTTTTAATTTCTCTAATTTTCTGCAGTTTTCTGTATTTTTCGATTTTCGAATGTCCCTCCTGCGGGGACATCGACTGCAAAGGACTAATAATTATATAAAAATACTAATAATTATAATAATTCTTTTCCATTGTATTATTTATTCTTTTACGTTAGTGCTATTTATTTAGTCTCACTTGGCTAGTCGAATTGCTTAAATTTTTTACTAAATATTAGTAAATATTAACACTTTGCATTGGAGAGCTGACCTTCAGTCACCATTTCATGAAATTTGGAAGATCGGTATTAAATGATATATCAAATTTAATATAATGTAACAGTATGCGAAGTATCGAAGTCAAATAATTTTACAATTCTGATATTATACAATTCTATATTTACTGCTTAAAAAGTATCGTCAGATTTTTAGTAGAGAATTTTTGAATTTCTACTCTTCTCTAGCCAAAAAATCGTCGAGTGCAAAGGATTATTAACAATTACGTATAATACCAACAAAACATCGATAACAATGTACAAGCTACAATAGACCAAGAAATAAAAGATTTGGAACACAACGAAAGAAATTAGGAACAAAAATAATTGTACACCTTGGACCACGTCTGAAGAAGATTGGCCTTGGCCAATGAAATTCACAATCCGTTTAGAGGTTGTCGGGTCAGACCGTTTGGACGTACACGAGAATTTCTTCGGCTGTTGAATGGACATTCATTAATCTCGTTTAAAGAAAGGGAAAAAAGATGACGGCGAAACGAGGTTAATTCTCGTCCAAATGGTTGCTCAATCACGAATGTTAGATCACGAATGATAGATGCGATTCCTCAGACGTCATTGGCTAATTACCGAATGACATTGGCGAAATGCGAATCCAAGCGATATTTCTGCGCGAATTAAGCAACAGCATGAACGCCTCTCGTTCCGAGAAGACACGTGTGCGAAGACGATCTCGGTTGTCAAAAAATGTGTACATCTCTTGCTTTGGCCATGCCATAAATTCCGAACGAAAAAGGCGAAAGCGAAGTCCCAGGTTTTTTACGACTTTTGCATTTATATAACAAATCCAAGCACAAAAATCCAGCGTCTTGAATAGCGTGTGGAACTTTCTGTAGGTGGCTGATTTGCATAACTTAACGAATATTTTCATTCCTAGCTAATACCATGTGATTTTGGATTTATGCATATGATACAATATTCGAATTTATTAAGCACCCCGTGAACTGTGTTACTAATTTTATTCGGCTATTAATCAAGCAGGATTCGAATATTTATACAAATTAAATATGTATCTCCAAAGTTAGAATAAGAATGACGTAATGAAAGGTTTGAATAGATGAGTGTTTGAAGTTTGTTACGACATATTATTTCCACGTTTTGATCATTCTACTTAGTTTCAAATTTTTAAACTTAAATATTGAATCTTTTATTTTTATTTTTATTTTAATTTTATCCTTAATTAAAATTAAAAATTTTAAACCCCAGATATTAAATTTTAAATCTTAGATATTAAACTCAAAATTGTAATTCTTAATTTTAAAAATCAAATCTTCTTCTTTAATTGTAAATTTTAAATACTAGAAAATTTTTTATTTCAATTTTAAATTGTCAACCTCAGATATTAAACTTTAAATCTTAAATATTAACCTCAAAATTGTAATTCTTAACTTTAAACATTTAAAGTTGGATATTCAATCTTTTAATTTACCCTTATTTTTAATATAAATTTAAAATTTATCCGTAATTTTAATTTTAATTTCAAATTTAATTCCAATTTAAAATTTTAAATCCTAGATCAACGCCAAATTTTCAACTTTAATTGTAAATTTTAAATACAAATTAATTTTTCATTTCAATTTTAAACATTAGCTATTCAACTTTCAACTTTTACTTTTTATTTTTCATTTGAAATATTGAACGTAGAATAAGTTAGAGCAGATCACAGGCTCTGTCATTAAAATTGTTACAGCTGGAAGTTAAATAACTGAATACGTCACATCGATAATAGTATTGCTATTGTTTTATGAATGAACACATCATCAATGACTTTCAATCTCCCATCGTTGTGAAACATGTCATTAAAATTAACGAAGATTAGTGAAATTAATACGAGCTTTTACAAACCAAACCACGATAATAAATATTCCCATTTCCCACATGAGCGAGCTGACAAGTTGATTGGACTGTTGGAGTAATTATGGTTCGTGTATGTGACATTTTCGGCTATTGGAAACAGTACGTCATCATCGATGACATTGATGGTTTTGTATATACATAACTCCTGAATTTATAAAACACACCATTCAATGACAATTTACAACAAAAACTATAATCCACGATTGAAGATATAAAAATATATATACACTTTCGTTGACAGAAATTGAAAATGATATCTCGATGCCATCTTTGTTTCACCTATAACTCATGATCCATGTACAGATGGCGTTACTTTGTTATGTAAAAGTTGCCCACAAATCTCTTTCATAAATCAAAAGAGAACGTTCGCTTAAGTTTTTGTTAATCACGACGTCTCTTTAACTAAGTACTCGAGCAAAATCAATTATCCGATCGTAGATATTTTTCGTATTGAATAAAACGTCGCGAAATATCTTCTTCAACGGTGCGGTCAATTTTTGGAGATCTTTCAAATACCTTGGCAACGTAACGTTTTGCATTGGCAGAACAGTTCGGGGGATTTTGCATCTTCTCAGTGAAAGGAGTCCTGGAGTAGCGTAGCCGTATAAAAACCGTCGAATTTTTCGTATAGCCCACACTTCGACTCCATTCCTTAACCCATGTACACCATGAAGGCCTTCGTAGTAAGTAACAGTCTCTTCGCTAGGATAATCAGAGTGATTTAACCGGACGAGCAATTTTTAACTCAATTCTGTGACAAAAATACTTAATTCCTGGAAGTAGATAATTACCCATTTTATAATTAGGCAACATATAAATTTTCATCGTTAAGTTACATTTTATTCCATTTAAAAAGTATTTAACTAGTCACTTATAATGTAAGAAATATTAAATTCGACAATATATTAAACAGATCAAAAGATATATTTAGATCAAACATTTACATATATCGTACACCTTATAAGATATATCCAATGAAAGATTCAATAACATAAATTTCTTTTCAGACATTTCTACTGGTCGCTTCGCTGATCGCCATTAGCGCGAGTGCATCGATAAAGAAGTTCGAAAAACGTGGTCTTCTGAACGACAATGGATACTCTGGCGGTCACGACAGTCACGACACATCCGTGGTAGTGTCTCCTGTCGTGGAACCTACTACAAAATACCTTCCACCCGTAGCACCAGTCAAGAAACCCTACGCAGTGTCTTCCTTATCAGTCCCAAGTTACAGTGTTCCAGAACATTTACCAGAATCAGTCCCAGCACAGTCTTACGGTGTTCCATCCCACAGTGCATCTTACTCTGTAGCTGAACCTGCGCCATCATACGGACTCCCTGTGCCATCTTACAGTGCCCCTGTCTCTGCATCACTGCCATCTTACAGTGCTCATGTCTCTGCACCACTGCCATCTTACAGTGCTCATGTCTCTGCATCACTGCCATCTTACAGTGCTCACGCCCCATCACTGTTGCCATCTTACAGTGCCCATACCTCTGTACCATCTTCGACCTATGGACTCCCTAGCCACTCTTCTGGAGTTGTTTTGAACGGACCTGCACTGGCTTCAACTGCATCCCTCTCTGTGCCGCACTCAGTGTCAGTTGGATCTGGTTTGGGCAGTGGACTTGGCCTGGCATCTGTCGGTGTGCCTAGTTCCACTTATGGAGTACCAAGCAGCGTCCACTCCGGATACTCCTCTGGTCTTTCCTTGTCATCTCTAAGCGTGCCCAGCAAGACCTACGGATTACCTAGCTCGGGTTATAGCAATGGTTATAGCAATAATGGTTATAGCAATGGTTATAACAATAATGGTTATAGCAATGGTTATAGCAATGGTTACCATGGTGGATCATCTGTCAGCCTGTTACCAAGCCCCTCTTATGGTGTTCCGAGTTCAGATAACGGGTACGAGTACCCCATCCCATCGAAACAATTACTTCTTTAAATTTAAGAGAGGAATTACGTGATGAGTATTGTAAAGTGATTGGAAAATGTGACGATGACGATGGGAGAATCTTAATACCTTGCCACAAAGAATAGTATTCTATGTTAGTTACAGACAAACATATATAATATATGTAAACGATTATTATAATTTCAGATCTAAATAAAAGATTGAGATATTTTTTTATCTGAATAAAAGATTGTAATATTTCTGACTCGTGTTGCACGATTTTCCTGGCTCGACATGGTGGGTTAGGTATTAAATCATAGGCATAATTATTCGTTTGATTAATTAATTACTTGACTCACAATAGGTCATGAATTCTACTTGTAGACGTGGATACGTGGGTGAACTTCGTTATGCAGAATCGCGGCGTGTAGGCATATGAATTATGTGGGCAGACTCACGTGTTGCAAGAGTTATTTAATATATTCAAGGTGAAAATCTCACAATACGGATTTTGACCTAACTTCGCATGCTTTATGTAGACGTGCTTGACGAGGACCCCACGAGCAGCGATAACTGATTCATTCTTGACTCATGTACTTTCTAATTCACATTTATATAATACATATGTAATTCATTGTATACTATTGGATAAATATAAAGAGAAAATGAATTGTAAGCACGAAAGTAGTTAAAAGAATTTATTGGTAAATAATATTCGATAATAAAAATAAAATTGTATTAAAATAATACTGAGTGACGTATAAGAAGACTTTGATTTATTTGGAAGGAACTATCTATTGTTAAAAATTTATTTACCGATGGTAAAAATACTCATTAACCTCTAAGATAATTGAATCATTTAGTACCTAAATTGAATGAAATAATATATTCAAAAATTTCAAACATTTTATTCCAATGCTTCAGAAAAAGAAAAGAAAAACGAAAAGCGATTCAATCCTGCAATTTTTATCTTCGTTATAGAATATAATTTACATATTTCTACAATATTTATAATTTCATATCTGAAAAAAATTAACAAAATTAATAAAAATAAGCTTCAATATTTTAAATAGAATTTATAAGTATAATTTATAACAGTCCTTTAAGAAATGAATTTTCCCACATAACACACCAAAAGAAAGAATAAATAAATAAATATATTTCTTTAACTATATTTTACAACAACGAATCTTCCACAAGCAATAAAACCATGCACAGGGTCAGGGCCGGCGCGAGGCAAGATCAGCGCATTCACCGGAACTCGGCCCCGCGTTTTGAAAGGCTCCGCGGTCTACGAAAACTCATCAGACATTTTGCAAGACCCCCTGTATAGTAGATTGAATATTCGAGTGTGTGCAGAAAATACAATCGCATAATCCATTAATCGATTATGGATTAATTGGATATGGTACAGCTTGCTGTACACTGACACGAGTGCAAGATTTTCTCTCCCATCTTTGCATCGAAATATTTCGTTGCAGCGTGTTCTAAACGTTGACATTAAACGTTGACATCAAAGGTTGATACGACTGCAACACGGGTGCGGAAGATATTAGGAGTTAAGGAAATCAGTCAATTAGAAAACACCGATTTTGATTAACTTTTTAGAGAATGATGATACCATATTATTTACCGATACCATATCCGATTTAAACGTGTATTCTGGTTCCGCAAAATACCTGGTAAGCACCTAGATACATCGGTGCCCATATGAGAGAATTTTTGGACGATGAAGCACACGTTTCTCTATTTTAATTTTCATACGTTTCGAATCTGAAAAACGTATGTATTGCCTGGATAAAATAATAGTAGTAATAAATGATTAATTTTGTTAATCCTTGAAATACCGTTTCGGCGGTGTTATTACTCGTCAGGAAAAATCATATTGCTGACCCCGTGCCCAGGTAAAACGCGATGGCACCTTGAAACTGGGCCATCATATACTCTAAGTACCTGGAGTATGGGGCAATAATTCAGTTCGTTTTTCTGAAAAACTGTTTGTAACCCCTACCATTGCACCTAAAATTAGGAAACTCCGCTATTCATATCATCCAATAGCAAAATACACGTATAAAAAAAACAACCTAATACAGTAATAACAAAATAATAAAGCAACTCGGGAATTTCCAACCTTCTTCATCTCACAGTATACACAGTTATTTACTAAAAGTCAGTGTCTTTTCGGTTTGTAACCCCTACCCTTATACCTCAAATTCGGAAACTCCATCCAATTACAGAGTAAACATGATCCAAAATCACCATCCACCATTCACCGAATCACCTGCACCTCCTAACAAATACGAACACAACCAGTGGTGCCGGAAACTTCGTCCATTTCATAAATTCAACATGAAAGGAGAACAAGCACAGGCCGAGTTAGAAGTTTTAATTCCGTTTGTCCTAAGCAGCTTATACGTACGTTAGGTATGCCATTACATGCTGTTCCAAGTCTCACCCTAGTCCTTCATCCCCACTTCCAGCGACCACCCTTCGTTTCCCACTATAAAGCCCGAGGTTGTGTACTTTTTCAGTTGCCTACCGCCATCTTCGTAATAGTATCTGTAGTCGTAGGAGACGTACTACGTGTCTCGCTCGTATTTCACCAACTTCTACGAGTTACTCCCCGGCAGCCTAGCGCGTGCACGCACACGCCAGCCCCCGCGGGTGCGCACGGGGTGAACCCGTAGCCGAAGAACATACCTGTCCATGTGCACTTGTGTCCACTTTTTGCCAGAAAACTGGCAGTCACGCGCTATTTTACGACTTTTGCCGGGCCTGTGAATTAACCGGGGCTTTTCCGGCTACGAGGACAGTCCTTTATGCATCCCTTCCAGAAATGAAGAACATTCCTCCTACGCAGCCCTCGGGGTTACAGTGTCGTTAAGCTACCGTCTCTGATATCACTTCGTGCACTCGTACACGCTAGAGCAGGTTCGTTGCGCGCTTCGAATGAAGAAATTACAAGATTAGACGTACGAGACGGAAGTTTGTTTACGAACTGGCGCGAAGCAAAAGAGACACTCTCGGGAAGGTCCCCGAGCGTGTAAAGTCGGAGTAAGCTGCTGTTATGGCTGTCCTACATGCGTGAATTATTGGAACGAATTTTAGTGCGAAGCTGGATATCAGACGAGGACATTAAATTATTTTTCTTCCTGTTCTTGAAATTACGTTACGGATATTTGGATTTGATATTGGAATTAGTGGCTTGAAATGCGTGTTTGCGTATGGTGTATATTATGTAGTAATAGTAATTGAAATAATTAAGATTGCAATGTAACTATTGCTTTAAACTTGCATTTCCTTATTGCGATACAGCTTGTTAAATGCTTGACAGTCAAGCTGTTCGCACTATTTTCACGAGTTTCTGGTTTCCCATTTTACATTAATTTCCCCGATGTCTATCACACGGCAATTTTACCTTAATTTTATTACTATTAATGGATTTTCATTTGACGCGGTTACCTTTGATCAATTTATGTCCTCCATCCTATCAATTCATATCTTCATGCAGCTATATTTAGTAGCTATATTTTTCATCAAATATCGAATTTTTCATACTTTTACTGTCTGAATAAAGCCCAGCTTCTTGCGTTGTATAATTTAAGATATCTATTCTACGATTATTTCACGATATTATATTATTTTTTATTTTTAAATTCTTTTTGGTTCAATTTTATCAATTACACAGTTACAATTTATAATATTGATACATTAAATAATACAATTTTAAATTTTAATAGCTATTTATATATTATATTTTTATACCTTCACATTACAATATGTAATATTAATATTAATATTTGATACGTGTAAAAATATTTTTATGAATAAACATTCAATTATTATCATTTATATTTACATATATTTACATTATCGTCCCTGCTATTTATATTTATAGATTGCACACTACCTTTATTATTATTTACATTTATCTTCATCGTTATTATTATTAAATATATTATCATCTTTAACATTTGTATTTATATATTATATATTTTTGATAAGTAAATTATATAATTATATTATGATCTAATCTCTAAACGTACAATACTATAATTAGTACTGTGTAATATTGTACAATTGTGTATAGTATAATAATGTTAATGAATAAATACCTCGCAAGCATATTTACTAGCAATATTTTTCATTAAATATCCAACCTTTTTATATTTTTATTGTCTAAATAAAGCTCATATTCTTGCGTTGTATAATTTAAGATATTTATTCAACGATCATTTCACGATTTTATATTACATTTTTTATTTTTACATACTTATTGGTTCAATTTTATCAAGTACACAGTTATAACTTATAACATTGTTAAATTAAATAGTACAATTTTAAATTTTAATAGCTATTTATATATTATACACCAATATTATATTTTTATACATTCACATTACAATATGTAATATTAATATTAATATTTAATTCGTGCAAAAATATTTTTATGCATAAACATTCAATTATTATCATTTATATTTACATATCATATGACACCGTTATTATTATTTATATTTATAAATTGCACGCTATATCTATTATTATTGACATTTATTATTATTATTATTATATATATTACTGTCTTTAACATTTATATTTATATGTTATATATTTTTGATATGTAAATTATATAATTATATCATAACCGAATCTCTAAATGTATAATGCTAATTATAAAAACGATGTTAATGAATAAATACCTCGCAAGCATTAGACGAATATAACACACGCGTAAATCTTCGAAGGCATTATTTTATTACTCAGACGGAGCAGACATTGGCAATTTGAAATGCGTACAATGTAGAAGCTAATTGTAAACATCCATCTAACGTGAAAGATTTAAGGGCACTGTAAATTTATTCGCAAGACCCTTGCTTAATTACGCAGATTCCAAAGCATCATTAGCACCCTCAGTATTTAAGCTACACTGCAGAAGACGAAAGTTTCTGCTTTTCGTCCGAGTTGTGCAGATTTACACGCATAAACTGCCGAACGAAGTATTTTTGGCGGAATAACAATCGCCGAATTCCTTTTAATCTATATACACGCAGTATCCCCGATTATTCAAAC